AGTGTATGTTGTTTAGACTTATTTATCTGAACAGAATAATTGTTTATAAACTCCCCAATTACAATATATTGATACTTACTTGGATGCTTCAACTAAATTTGGTAATTATTCACCTCTTTTCTCCTAGGCTGTAGTATATCATTAACTTAACATTTGCATATCATCTGTTGACTTAATCCTTATTTTCAAGTATTGGTTTTGTAGGGGTGTTGTTTGATTGGTTAGAGGATTTCGTCATGAGCTGATATCAGTTAGAGAAACATTGGAAAACCACCTGGGAGTACTGGTCAGCCAGCTGTTTCGTCCTAGTTTGGGACTCATCGCAGTGCCTTCTGGTTACAAGACGAGCCAGCTAGTGTAACATTACGCTAATAGGACCCAATCCAATGGCCAGTTCATGAATTCTAACTTCTGCCGATTCATGACATAGCCCGACCACTTTGTAATGTTCTCTTCGATGAGTTACTGCCTCACCTTTAACCAGCTGTACCCTACTGGTCACGGTTTTCCACTAGAAATCAATACGTGAATATCAATGAGATGCTCGCTAGCGATTGGCCCTATTCAGGTAGGTAGTTACCTCGGTTATGGTGGGAAGTCATGACCAGTAGGGTATAGCAGGTCAGCTGTGACGACAAATACCTGCCGCCAATGACATTCACTAGTGGTCGTGCTATGTTGTGAATTGGCAGAAGGTGGAATTCATGAGCTATTGGATTGACGGGTCCCAGCGGCTTAATGCTCTACGAGCTCTCTCGCCTCGTAATCAGAAGGTCGTGGGTTATAACTCTGGTGGTGGGTGCGTACTGACGAAGAGCCTCTAACTAAGACGAAACAGCTGTGAGCAGATTAGGTAGTTTTTAGCGAAACAGACGAAGAAGGTAAGCAAGTGATTAACATTTCCCGGGTGCATACAACACACAAGGATTGATATGTTCAAATACTATTTTTTTTAAACATTATGAAGCAGTGTAGTACGATGAATATTTTGGAAATCCTTTCTGACAGTGTTGATATTTTTTTAATTTGAAATTTTTTAGATACTCCTCATCTTCAAGAATAAGAAGGATATGAACCAGTGATAAGAACCACAACGAACTGGGGACACTTAGACAAGTTCTCAATGTAAATGGATATTCTACAGAACTTATATCAAAACATGAAGGCAAATCAGAGGCCTGAAAGAATCCAAGCAGTGCTGAAGAAACTACTATTTATGAATGTTTAATTTAAAGATGATACTATAGCTGAGATTCTGAAGAACCGCTTGGTCAGATGGTTGAAGAAAGCATTCTTTTCGGCCGAGCTACGAATCAATTTCTACAATAAATCAATGATCAATAGATGTGTGAAAGATGAAATGGCGGTTTGGATCACTTAAATGTGTATTTGTAAATTCACTTGCTACACTGAACACTAGCCAAATAGTCCACACCTCAGATATACAGTTTTATTTAACAGTACCATAGCCTACCACCCTAGTTGATACAGGACTGCGGGTAGACACATTGGAGTCGCTTAAGTTAATGTGAATATGTAAATCCCTGTACGACTAATTTGAATTCTTAGACATATTTTCATTCAAAATAATGAGGCTCCGATTATTCGTTGAAAAGGAAACTATTACTAACTTATGATATCTCTAGCTTACATCTTCAAATGTGCATTTCAATCTTTGTGTTTTTGTGAGTGAACTTATTATTTACCGTCATCTTCTTTCACATTAAGTAATATTTTAGTTAGTGGCTGTGTTATCACTCACTTCGTTCAAGTTTGCTTGGATGACCCCAGAATTATGTAACCACTACTACTACTACTTATGTCTGATTTCCCTTTTGAATTTCAGAACTTTCTTATTCTTGTGGGAGATCGCGTAAATTATATATCGAATAGGCTTAGAATTCATGGGTCATTGGATCGGGTCGTAACCGGAAGACTCTGAGTTAAAATCCCGGTGGGTGAGCACCACTGAAGAGTCCAAAGCTAGTGCAAAAACAGATACCCAGTGCTCCTTACTGGTTCTCCAATGGTTATCTAACTGATGTCAACTCACGATCAATCCAGTAACCAAATAAGAATGTGCCTACTTTGATCATAATTTTATAATTCTAACTTTCTGTATAATGTCTGTCTGTTTTCAACATATAACTTTGCACCGATGTGCAGCAGTTCAAGTCGCCACACTCCCTCCATGTAGCATGTAGAAGAAATGCAAAATAGAGACAGTAAACAGAGGTGTGAGACAAAGGAATAGTAATAACGAAGAACAAAACAGTTTCATTAGAAATCATAAGTCACAAGGAGTGGATGCATCTGCGTCAGCCATTGAGAACGATTTTCAGCCATATCACTAACTGTCTTCAGCCATTGGTGTTTACAGTCCCAAGGACCCCAACCAGGAAGTCTACATCTTCCTACGTGGCTTGGACTAACTGCTGTGGATTTTATTGACTGGTGCCATGTTTTGGTTTGACCGCCGCTAGCTCTTTTCCAGCCTGACTCTATATCAGCTAACATTACTGACTTTCGAAGAAGGTGATGACTAGGCATACGTAATACATGTCCTAACCAACTCAATCGGTGTAACATCACAGCCTCGTCGATTCATTTTCCCTCTTTACCTAGAACTCGACGCCTAAACCTCAATATTTCTGTATAATATGGACATTGTAATTGTCTGAATGTTATATTCTAGTCTCCTAAAATAAAACGACTTCACCCAGTCACCTAGTGGATAAAGATCACTCCTATTAGCGGCCTGTTACGGTCAGGAGTGATTAGACTTCGGTCTTCCTCTCGAAATACTCTTATACGGTCAAGCGTTCATAGTCTCGACTATGGAAGCTCCATTCACTGTCTTCACAATACAAAGGATGTTTCCCACAATAATGAAAGGGTAAATGCGAGCGTCTATCGCTTACAGTCAGACTGGTAGACATGCAGGTGGTCTACCTAGGAAAGTTGGAAAACCTTGATTCCGAACCTATGGTGAACCTTGGTTTCAGAATACGAAATGATCGAATGGTGTACGAACCTACCTTTGGTTGCAGTCAACTGTGGGAATGTAGCTCCTAATACTTCTCTACTGTCTTGTGTATCAAACTTCCAGTTGAAGCCTCGCTGGGGCAGTGGTCCCTTAAGACAACCACGGATAGTATTCCAGCCCTTGCGCATCTTAGCGCCCATGTATTAAGTTTGTTTTAATAAAAATAATAGTAAGGCATATCAAAGATTACGTCACAGTGATTGTTTATTTATCCAGCTATTCAGCTGATGAAGACCCTACGAGACGAAATGAATTCATCTGTTTCTGAGACAGCTGTTCTCATTATGTCATCAAAGTTTATCAGAAAGGCCTCCTTATGGATAAGATTTTATTTTGATAAATCACACAGTGTTACACAGTAATATTAACTGATGACGTTTCGAGCACAAACTATTGCCACTCATAATCATATCAAGTTACACAACTTTTTTCCTTCATTTATATACATGTGTGGAATCGATTAGATATTGAGATCACCAATATCCCCTGTCGCAGCAGACATATTTATGGACAGTTGGGAAAATATTGCTCTAAATACAGTTAATCCTACTCCAAAAATATGGTGGAGATATGTGGATAACACTTTCACAGTGTTAGAAACAGAACATATCTCAAGCTTCTTGACACACATAAACTCACTAGTGGAAGGAGAATTGGCTATGTTAGACTGTAAAATAAAACGAATAGAAGAAGGCAAACTACACATTAGTGTTTATAGAAAACCAACACATTCTAATAGATATTTAGACTTTAATTCGTCTCATCCTTTAACTGTTAAGGCAGGCTTAGTTAAGTGTTTAACAAACCGAGCAATGGCACTAAGTAGCACGAAAAAAGACCTAAATGATGAAATAAAACAGAGAGAAGAGGCGTTGGTAATAAATAACTATCCTTTAAAATTCATTAGGAAGATTGAAAAAGGCCGAAATAAAAATAATGGTGAAGGAATACAAGGTATTTACAGTTTTACCATATAAGATGGGGACATCTGAAATCCTACATAGGATTCTTAATAAAGCAGGAATTAGGGTGGCATTTAAACCTACAACCTTACTCAGGGACAAGCTCTGTAGGTTAAAGGACCCAGTGGACCCAATTAGACAAAATAATATAATTTACAAAATACCCTGCAATGACTGTGAGTTAAGTCAACTGCATAGGTGAAACTAGTAGGTCGGGGATAGTCAGATTATCAGAACATAAGAATTTCGCCAAGGGAAGAATGGTTGACCCTGAAAAGATAAGTAATTTAGAAAAAAGCTCAGTAATTGCACTGCATGCAACGACACACAACCACACAATAGGATGGGAGAATGTTAAAATTCTAAAAAGTAATCTAGGTAGGTGGAGATAAAGAGAGACTGATTACTGAATCCTTGATCATCGAGTCTACACCCAACACATGCAACAGAAATGATTCAATGCAAATACCAGAAATATGGAAGATATTATTACCGCCGGTCAAATCAGGGGAGGATAATAAATAATCTCAAAATTCTATTTCAATTCAAACACATCACAACATTCTTACAAGTTACTTATTATGCTTACAAAAACACTCGTCTTATTTCCCATCTGACTGTAATTGATCAATAATACTCGTACTATTATTTCGAAATGTACATTATCCCATATTGATTTTTATTTAAATATCTAGTCAATTCCACACATGTATATAAATGAAGCAAGAAAGTTGTGTGAGTAACTTGATATGATTATGAGCAGTGTTAAATTGTGCTCGAAACGTCATCAGTTAATAATACTGTGTAACACTGTGTGATTTATCAAAATAAAATCTTATCTATAATGGAGTTATGCTCTACCACAGTGCCCAAGTTTTATACTTTTATCAGAAAGGAACTAGTTGAATCATATAACACGTTTCTAACATAAAGCATATATATGTGTATATCTCATAAAAAGTATTACGAAAAAAAATAGGCATCTGACTTACTTCCCCATCACCAAGACCACAAACATAAACTGTATTATCCGGTCTTGGATAAACTTCCGGTGAACATTTATACTCTAAACCTTGATATTCCATAAATAAGCATTTAGCATCTATTGGACAATTTTCTACTGTAGGCTTTAATATAATACTATGTGCTCGTCTTCCTTGAAATGTATTCGGCTTTAAACAACCTGATGGTAACCATTTAACAGCTTCACTTGACCAAGGTCCTGCTGTAAGGATAACTAAACTAGCTGGTATAAGCTCAGTATGAGAATCTGATGATGAGGACCCAATTACTCGAACAGCAGCAACGCATGGAGTAGATGTTTGTGATTTTGCAAATTCTAATCCAATAACTCGCGCTATTTTCACTTGTGTTCCATCATTGGTTAAATGTTGAGTACGACGAAATAATTCTCTTGTCAGTTTTCCTGGATTCACCTACAAAAAAGAAAAAGTGACGCTAAACTAAAAATGTGAAGTCTGAGTAAAAACAGCACAAAGAAGAGCTCAAAGTATTGACAAATAATGAAAAGATATACTATTAACACGCCCTAACAAGGGTGCAGGTTTTGTTAGCATAGGTCGTAAAGATTACATAGATCAAAAGGTCACATCTACTTTTCAACAGCACTAAATTCTCGAAATAGAACACGAAAAACGAAACGGAATTAGTCAAAAAACAATTTACCGAAGCTTTAAAAAGAATGAAGAACAATCATCATCTTATTCGTGAAGAACTTTACGAAAGAATTAGATGAGCAGGATCTCTAATACCGAGACTCAATGGTCTTTGGATGTAGAATCCCTATTTACGAACGTTCCACTGACAGAAATCATATGCTTTATATGTAAATACATTGAAGACAACAAGTTGAATATAGGGATACCCACTACAGATTTGAAAGAACTGCTTTTGAGATGTACATTGAATGTACAATTCACTTTCAATAAAACAATCTACAGACGGAAGGATGGTATTGCAATGGGTACTCCCTTGGGTCCCTTCCTCACAGACTGTTTTATGGCCAGTCTAGAAAGTCGTCACACTGAAGTTAACAATCCAAAGTTTTCAGATGTATAAAAGGTATGGAGATGACACCTTTATTATTTTTAATATTGATTATAAGTTGAATAATATAATAAATGCCTACAGTGACTGCCATTCAGCTATAAAATTCACACTCGAAATGGAGAACGAGTCTAGTATTCACTTCCTCGATGTGAGCTTATCAAGGAGGACTGATGGAACTCTGAAGAGGTCGATTTATCGGAAGCTGTCATGGAATGGTCAACTGACAAATTTCTACAGCTGCGTACCCATTGGTCGAAAACGAAACCTGGTCCGGTCTCTTGTCACTCACATTCGGCGAATATGTAGTCCTGATCTTTTAAGAAAAATCCTAGTAGAAAGTGGATTTCCACTACTTTTTATCATCCGTAACGAAAAAAATACTGTGCATGATCTTGAAATTCAAAGGTAACTTAGCTTATGATTAAAAGAAGGATTTCACAATCCCTGAAAAGGACATTCCCTGCTGTATCTTTGAGAATAGCCCTTACCAGTCCACTATTACTGCTCAATAACCTGAAGGACAAGATACCACAGTTGACTAACTCTATGTGAGTTTATCAATTCACTTGCTCATGTGGAGATAGGTATATTAGTTGTTCGACTTGAGTTTTGTCCAAGAGGTTGCGAAAACACTATCCTGAACGGTTACGAAGAGGTGGAAGTGGAACAATAAACGTGATTATTGAACATCAGGTCGATAATGATCATTGTCTCTACAGCCTCTGCCTTTAAAGTCATTTACAAGGCGGAAAGTAATCTGCCCAAATCATTACGTATCTAACTCATTGGTATTGCTGAGGATTTGGCTATCGAAACAGAAAAGCCAGATATCTGTATACAGGAAAAGTTCGTTCAACCCCTGCAACTTTCATGGTCTTAATCCCTGTATTCATGTTAAAGTATGGTAATCGCTAATCATATGTTGGCTGTACCTATTTTTCGTTTTGTTTATTCAATTTGTATACTCTTCCTTTATTATGTCAATTGTTACTATTACCATTCTCACTTTGAATTGTTGCCGGTATTATTTCACATGTTCCACTTGTCATTCTAAATCTGTTTTGTTTGTGTTATGATAACAAATACAATTGTAATTTATGTGAAAAAAAATATACGGAAGTCATAGGCATATCGTTCATGGCACTATAAGAATACTTGTGGTCTTCCATCCAGAAATACGACTCTAAGAGTGCTTTTTTCTTACGTCACTTTAGTTCTATGATAATACTTTAATATTAGGTGTTTGTACAACTATGAAGTCACTTGGATGAGTTGACCTACATTTCAATGAACTTGGAAAGTATTATATCAAAGGATTAAGGCACTCTACTCGTACTCATGCAGCCAGGTGAGGGCCTATGGCGAGTTGTCATCTGAAGTGGTGACGACTAGTGGCGTCCGTCAAGGATGTCCATTATCCCCATTCCTATTCAATTTCATCATAGATGTACTAATGGACTTAACCCTAACTCACTTCAGCGACTCAGGGATTGACTTGCTACCAGGGAAGAATCTCGTTGACTTAGAATATGCGAACGATATACTCCTTCTAGGCGAGGACTCTGACAAAATGCAGAGTCTACTGAACACCCTGAGCAACAATCTCCGCATGTTTGGCATGCGATTCGCCCCTATAAAATGTAAGATGATGCTGCAGGATTGGACTTCATCGACCCCTAGATTAGAAATAGGAAGTGAAGTGGTAGAACACGTTGACCGCTTCACTTACTTGGGAAGTACCATCAGCCCCAACGGGTCGATCTCCGACGAAATTTCAGCATGAATACAGAGGGCTAGGTTCGCATTCGCCAGTTTTCGCCGTCTCTGGCGTAGACGCGATATCCGACTATCGACCAAAGGGCGTGTGTACTGCTCAACAGTCCGCTCCGTCCTCCTTTATGGCTGTGAGACCTGGCCATTGAGAGCAGAAGACATGAAAAGATTAGCTGTCTTCGATCATAGGTGCCTGCGTTCTATCTCCCGCGTGAAGTGGTATAATAAGGTGAGCAATATTGAGGTTAGGCTTCGGTCGAGTGCTAGGTAAGCTGAAGGGGAAATCAATCGACGAAACTGTGAAATTACTTCGACTGAGATGGTTAGGACATGTGCTACGTATGCCTAGTCATCGCCTTCCTCGCCGGGCAATGTTAGCTGATATAGGGCCAGGCTGGAAAAGAGCTAGCGGCGGTCAAACCAAAACATGGCACCAATCAATGAAATCCACAACAGTTAATCTAAGTCACGTAGGAAGATGTAGACTTCCTGGTTGGGGCCCTCGGGATGGTAAAAACCAATGGTTGGAAACAATTGGTGACATGGCTCAAAATCGTTCTCAGTGGCGCAGATGCATCCACTCCTTGTGACTTATGATTTCCAATTAAACTTTTGTTCTCCGTTATTACTATTCCTTTGTCTCACACCTCTGTTTACTGCCTATATTATGCATTTCTTCTACTTCCTCCTCTTGCGTTGCGTGCTACATAGATTGTGGCGACTTGAACTGCCGCACTTATGTGCAAAGTTCTATGTCGAAAACCGACCGACCGATATCAAAGGATGAAGCACTGTCGAGCAGAGCTACAGAGCTAAAACGTCAACCCTTTTGTTTAACAGAAGTTCTAACGAAAAAAACAAGACAAGAAATTCAACGAATATGCTCTTTTCGACAAATTCACTCTTCTTCACTTTAGTTCTATGATAATACTTTAATATTAGGTGTTTGTACAACTATGAAGTCACTTGGATGAGTTGACCTACATTTCAATGAACTTGGAAATTATTATATCAAAGGATGAAGCACTGTCGAGCACAGCTACAGAGATAAAAAGTCAACCGTTGTGTTTAACAAGAGTTCTAACAAAACACGAGACAAGAAGTTCAACGAAGAGTCTCTTTTCGGCAAATTTATTCTCCTACTCTGCTGTACAATCACATTTATATACAATCCCTCATTCATGAAAGAGGGTATTGCACAGAAGTGATGAGTTGTCACAATTATCGTTGTTAATATTAACCAGTGCATAAGAGGAGTTGAATAAGTGTAGTACAGTTACAACTAATTGGTCGTACACCAAACCTAATTATATCTCTTGCTACTCGCACATCTGACGCATCTGCAGGCCTGATGCTCTGGAAGAAGAATTACACCTTTTTGAAAGGCACATTCATACAAAACGGATATCCACCAAAAGTTTTATTGACAAGAAAATCAAGTCGAAGATTCAAAGACAAGAGATGTCACATTTGCCAAAAAAAAAACTTTACATGAACCTCGACATCAAAAGTGACCTATTCATTGATATCATTAAAACGAACTTTTCTCGCAGCTACGCTGAGAGTAATGTTCTCTAGTTGCCCACTGATCTGCAGAATTTTTTTTATTTTTATTTTTTTTATTTATTTATTTAAAAAAAAATAAAAAATAAAATGATCTGCAGAAGCCTGAAGCAAAAGATCTCGCATCTGGTCACTTTTATGTGTGCATATATCAGTTCACCTGTTGCTGTGGAGCCAGGTACATTGGTCTTTCGACGCGTATCCTGTTTAAAAGAGTTCAAGAATACTATCCCGCATGGTTGCAGAAAGGCAGTAGTCAGCACAGGTCATTCCATCTCAATAAACGCCTCCTTCAAAGTAATCTATAAAGTGAAGAATACACTACCAAAGGCAATATACTTTTGTCACCCTTGCGTTGCTGAAGCTTTAGCTATTTAGTTAGATAAACCGGAGTTATGCACACAAAAAAAATTATTCAACCACGGTAACAAACTTATTGATTTCTAATAATTTGATTTTTTAAAATATTTTTCTAACTCCTTATAACGCGCTTGTATTTCTTTAGAACTCTTAAATAATTCCATATTTTCCTTTGCCTCTATGTGCAACCTGATAACAATTCACTCATTAGATTATTCATCTTGTTGCGTAATTCACACACTTATTCAAATCCTTTAATGTATTGACTAATATTAGCCACTATGATCGCGGCAACTCATCACTTTTGTTTTACTACCCTTTATCATGAAAAAAGGATTGTACATAAATGCGATTGTACAGTTAAAGAAAATAAATTCACCGAGAAGAGCCCCTTCGCTGAACCAACTGAATTGTTATTATTAATCTTTGGATGTGAATTTTTCCTGAATTAACCAGTGGCTTAGTGGTCTACGAGCTATCTCGCCTTATAACCAGAAGGTCCTGGGTTCGAACCCCGGTGCGTACCGCTGAAGAGTTCCAAACTAGGACGGAGGAAACAGCTGTCCAGTACTCCCAGGTTTTCCAATGGTTCTCTAACTGATATCAGCTCATGATGAAACTCTCCAACCAATCAAACAAAAAATCCCTAAAAAAACCAATACTTGAAAATTAATTTGGTGCTCATTAGCGACTGGCACTATTCAAGCAGTAAACCTGGGATTCTAGTGGGAAACAGTGACCATTAGGGTACAGCAGGTTGAAAAGTGAGGCAGTAACTCACTCATCGAAGAAAACATTGCGAAATGGTCGCGCTATGTCATGAATTGGCAGAAGTTAGAGTTCATGAACTAGCCATTGGATCGGGTTTTATTAGCTTAATGTTCTACGAGCTGGCTCGCCTTGTAACCAGAAGGTTCAAACCAAAGGGTTCAAACCTCGGTGATTACGTGCGGGTGAAGAGAGTCCCAAACTAGGATGAAACAGATGGCTGTACAGTACTCCCAGGTGGTTTATCAATGGTTCTCTAACTGATGTTAGCTCATGATGAAACCTTCCAACCAATTAACAAGAATTTATTACCAGTATATTTGAATATTTTTTGAAACCATAAATACGGATAGGATATAGGCTTAACATTCGAAGTCAAATAACGCAAATCAATAGAATAATAATATGATATCTTAAATACATTTTCAACAAAATCAACTTAATCATTAAAAAAATTCCTATAATCATACCTATCAAAACGATTTTGTAGGTCGTAAACAGCGAAAACACTAAGCCATATGGAAAGAACTATTTCACACAGTTACACAGTTGTAATGTATGATAATTCAAACATGTATTCGTGAGTAATCTCACATAATGAAAGTGATGCAATAGATGTAAACAGCAAATGTGAAACCTTATTTAACTACATGTTCAATTAGAGAGTTATCTGTCATAAGAAAAAGTAAGTGAATTGAACGAACATGCTTTGAAGAATAAACATGAAATGCAAACTGCTCTATCGATTCATAGGTTTATGGCTGCGATTGACATCCTATTAGGCGAAAATTAAGTACGGTAATAAGTAGTGCGTGTGGGGTACTCATTATGAAAAATAAAAAACTAGCACGAAACCTAGGTCAACCAAGGCTTCCTGCCGATTGCCTCCAACTATCTAATATCATCAAATCAATGTGCACCGTGATGGCGAGCTACCTAGAATGGTAGCCACATTGCAAAACCTGACTGATAGAATTCAGTCTGCACCAAAGAAAGGACTAGACACATCACAGTAGTTACTAGTGTCCAATCAAAATACCCACTACAGTCCTACAGGAGGTCAATCGCGAGCCCGAATAACTCAGTGGCAACGTCTCTGACTGCAGAACACACTGGGTGACGCGGGTTCGAATCTCAGAAGGGACATGAGTTCCTTCAAGGTTGCAGATGCGCCTTTCTGACCAGTGAGTACTAACTAGCACGAAACCTAGTTGGAAGGCTTCCTGTGGCCGATTGCCTCCAACCATCTAATATTATCAAACAGGAAAGTCTTCAGAAGTTCAACAATCTGGTTTATTTTGAAAGGAAAGTAAAAACACTCGACTAACCTGTGCAGTATTTGTAGTATTTCCTATCAATGAACAGCTTTTAACTTTTCCACTAATCCATGATGGAGCTCCTGAAACACCAGAAGACTCTCCAGGAGACACAGATATAGAATAAGTGTTGACACGTCTGTAATCGCATACATCACCAAATTCTTCTGCCAATTTCATATGTAAATCAAAACCATTTTGAGCTAGAACATCCATTTCATAGTGTGAACACCAATCTTTTGCAAGAAAGCCTCCAGCTCGACCAGATGCTGCAGATGCAAGCTCTTCTTTTTCAATAATCAATGTGTTGATTTTACGTTTCGATAGAAAATAAGCAGTTGAAACACCAATAATACCTCCACCGATTATGACAACAGTCATTATGAAAGATTATGTGCCTAAACTGTTTATATTTCAGTTTGATTACAAAGAAACAAGCGTCAACTTCAACGAAATTGATGTAAGTTTTTATCCAAAGAGGTAGTTTGATAATTTGAGCAAAACTAATTTGGATACGTGTAAGTTTCTTAAGTCACCTTCCGTAGTAAAACACTTTCAATATTGATGCATACTGTATAAGGTAAAAGAAGGAAAGAAATGATTATCTCGACCATAGTAGTATTCAAAAAATTGTGTTAGTTTAATTGTAAAGCACTTTACATAATCACGGTTGTTTTTCTTACTTTTCTGTAACTCCTTAGTATCTTCTGTTGAATACACAGTCAGTCTATTAACACGCTTTTTTATCAACGCGGTTGTCAAAGCTATAAGTTAAGCAAAATAGCTTATGGGACCGGTTTACTGTAACAGAACGGGAGGAGTATATGACTGATAAAAGTCGCACAGAGAACTAAAGACAGCGGTGGACTGTGTACACTAACCTGGAAGAATGTACTCATATATTAAACGTAAGACAAAAATTAGCAGTGTAATGTGTCGTCACTGACAAGCAATACTAGGGAGGAGGTATAATCAGACGACGCGAAGGCTAAAAGCCTTTCTGAATACCACCACCAGGGATTTAGTGAGGTCACTGTCATTGCCACTAAAATGACCCCAGTTGTAGTAGATTACGCAATGGTTTTTAAACCACCATTTTAAATGAAACCAGGTGAGTTAGCAGGGCCTGACGGGTTCCAGCATAGACTGTTAGTCTCACTGACTGATATAATATACTTACCATTTACGCCGATTTTTAAAATGTCCTTGACTCAAGCCAGGCTACTGAGGGGTCGGAAGGATGCAATTGCAAACCCCGTCTTCAAAGGAGGGAAGAGGCATACTATTATATATGTAAAACTTGGGCACTGTGGTAGTAAGTAATTCCATATTGGTTTGTTTATCAGATGTATCACACATTGAAGAAACAGTATTACTTAATGGATGACGTTCCGAACAAAATTTATTGTTTATAATCAGTTAGTAGTTGGTATCTAACTGCCAGCCTGTAAGTCTGACATGCAATGTAGCAAAGGTACTAGAGAAAGTCATGAGGGACCAGCTGTTAGCTGACATGAAGAAATATGGCTTACTGGCGGAGAAACAGCATGGATTCCGAAGAGGACGATCCTGCCTAAAAAATTTACTGTTAGCTAGGGAAGACTGGGTGGGAACCGGGGATAAAAACCTACCGTCGGACATGGTTTTTATCGATCTTAATACAATACTCGACAAATTGTCCTATTTAGGTCTCTTCAACGAACTAGAGAGTTTTGGATTAGACTAGTGCCTGTGTAGGAGGCTTAGGGACTACCTATTGGGAAGAGGACAAATGATAAGGGTTAATGGTGTATTGTCAGGCTGGAAAACAAGTATCGAGTGGATTAACAGAGAGAACTGTACTCAGCGCCTTGTTATTCCTATTATGCGTAAACGGACTACGGGAAGTTTTTACTTCATCTTCACCATTATTTGCGGACGATATTAAGATCCGGAAAACGGTAATTAATGACGATGATAAGTCAGTCTTACAGGGTGACCTAGATAATAAATCACCTGAATGGTCTAACTTCCAGTTTGGAAATTAATTCCAGATAAAGTCCGGTAATTCACTTAGGTCAGAGGTCTTACATGTTATACTCCATGGGGGACACAGAACTACCCTGATATCAAGAGTCAGGACTTAGAAATTTTTGTCAGCCATGATTTGAAAACTGTATTACAGCTGCACTACGGCTTTTCAAATGTTAGGGGCACTTCGAAAGCTTAGATGAGTCTATGTTTTTCGAAGTTCTCCAAGCAACATAAATCAGGCCTCATTCAGAATACTGTATACAAGTGGTTAGTTCATGCTTCAGGAAGGCACGTATCTTGCAAAAAGCATAGGAACTAAATTAGTTTGTGGTATCCCACCAGTTCCTTATGAAAAGAAGATGGAACATTTGAATCTGCTTTCATTATCATACCGAAGCAGGAGATGACTTAATCTTGGCATACCACATATTAAGGTGTGATTTTGGAATTTCTCTCCTTTCCATCCTGAATACTTTCACCAAGTTACCGCAAAACGGTGGACGAATGTGTGTGGAATTTAGATTCCCACATAGAGTCGTCAACCGCTGTAACTCCTTACCCTGTCAAATAGTATCAGTTTCACCGACGAACACTTTCAAAAAGAAATTAGGTCTTTGTAGGGATATATATTGAAAGGATTAACACAAGTCATAAGGACCTACTATCTTTATTATTTGAATCTGAAAACCCAGGTAATATTCACTTTCGAATTTTATCTTTTGGTTGCGCAACCGATGACACCTTACTTAATCGATATTCCTTTAACGCCTAATAATGAGTACTTATTTACAACAACATTTTTATATCACTAGGTGTAGGAAAGTTATGCTGACTGTTGTAACTTAAACTGGATCGTAATGTACTTTTTCCATAATCTAGGCGATCAATTTAAGTGAAAACATCATAGATATCTCTTAATATATTCAAAGGCAAAACGGTTGTATTAACAATCTACAATAATTACTTTACGATTCTCTAAAACAATTGATCACAATTAATACATAATATATGAATTGAGACTACTGTGAAACCGGTCAGCTCCACAGCAAGAAGTATTTTTGAGATATTTGCATTCCTCACCCCTCGCCTAATTTTTTCGTATTGGTTCACCAAGTGAATCACCCGCAAAAACACTTAAGTTCCCCACAGCTTTTCATTTGGGTAAACGTATACCGTATCCCTATTGTAATATAGGGATAGCAATGAATATGTATGTTTTGCCGCGAAACTATTCCATCTGTACCGATTCTTTTCTCCACCTACCCACGATATCCAAGCTCTCCCGAATTACCCCTCATAACTGCCTCAAAAATATGCATTTGTATACATAGTCTTCGGGTAAATGAAATGCGCGATACGTTTCATTCCTCGAAAGAAAATATCTATGAGCTGATTAAAAGTCGTGACTGAATTCAGCCTAACTCCTTGTACTATGAAACAATATATAAAAGAAAATATATAAAAAAAACACAGCGACCTAGACTAATCAAAAGTCCTCCTTAATTTGTAATACCAAGTACACAAGTAAAACAAACAAAGTAAATATTTTAGCTCCTTCGTTTTCTTCTTCACTCCTACAAGAGTATATAGATTATAATTGCCTTCCTATGTAATCAGTAAAGTCATTTTTATGCTACAACGTTTCAAAATTCAATACAGTGTGAAATAGAGTCAAACTTTCGACAGAAATTAAACGTCTACCAAACTTTCATAGCAGAGTAGAAATTCACATTCGTGATACGCCTTAATAACATTTGTTTTGGGATTTCCATTCGGATGGATTGGCTATGGGCTCCCTATCGGGTTCCATTTTTGCAGATTTTCTAAGTAAACAAGAAAATGGATCTTAGAACAACCTTGTCGGAAAATTCTGACTTTATTGCAGGTGTATGGATGACACTTTTATTCTTTGTGATAATGATTTGGGTAGTGGCACAATAATAGCTAAATCCAATGAAGTGCATTCTGCTATGAGATTCACGTGCGGAGAGGAATCCCAAAATAGAATTGCCTTTCTAGATGTCCCCTTAGAAGAAAACCAGATGGTAGTGCAAAGAGAAAGTTGCGTACGAAAAGCATATGGACAGGACAATATACAAATGTTCATAGCTCCGTTCCTCTCCAGTAAAAAATAAACGTAGTAAGGACCCTCAGCCACAGGGTTAGAGCTATTTGCTCAGAAGAGGTAACTGAAAATGAACTAAGGAATGTATATGATGCCTTGACTGAAAATAGTTATCCAGACAAATTCATCAGGAAACATATGATTAAGAAAGTAGAAAAGGACTATCCACTATCCGTAAACAACAAGCCTTTATAAATACAACTGCAATTTAAGGGTGATATACCTAGCGAAATAATTACGAGGAAGTTGAGAAAACCAATTCAAAGAACTTTTAATGCTGGCAAACTACAAGTCTTATTTCCTACATGACCGGTGGTGATTCCCCAACCGAAAGGTGAAGTACTTAAACTAACCGCTTCTGATTGTATCTACTAATTTAACTGCGTTTGTGGAGCGAGTTATATTGGCCGTTGCCCTGGGAAATTGAATTTTAGTGCTTGGGGACATCTACCAATGTGGTTAAATAAAGGTGTTGTGAAGACCATCAACATTTCGATATTAGGCCACCTGGTCCAAACCGACCACAAAGCCAGCATTGACGAATCCTCCTCTGTCATTTACTGAGTACCAAATAAATTGCCAAAAACATTCAGGAACCGTGTAGTCCAAACAGCAGAGGCTATCGAGATTCACCTTAAATAACCACTGCTTTGTGTGCATAGGAAGCAAGTCCAGACATTACTACTACCCTGACCGGCCTTCAGTGGAGACTGTAAATTCATGAGTTTGCGTTATTATTTTTCTTAATTTTTTAGATACTCACTCTATGGTTATGTTGATGCTATAGAACTGTAATCCATTGATATTATTGCTGATTCGATGTTATTTAAGGATTATTGTTGTTGATATAAGTAATTCATTCACTATTATGTATATATAACCGTAAGGTTATCGAAAAAATATTCCTTGTTCAGTTACCTTTCATTGGAGATTGATGTGCTGATGGCAGGTGAATTGTCGAAAATCGTAGTAGGTAGGTGTGTATCTCTGATTCTTCTTTTGACTTTAACGCGCCAGGATTCATTGCCGTTCTCTTTGAGCAGCATGCAATGAGGGTGTGTTACTTTAATCTCCTTTCGTTACACTGGTCATGAAATATAGTAGAACATGTAAGAGAGCCATTTCAGTTGTTTCTATGCTGCCTTGGGAAGGCCAAAATCTATAAAATCTCGTCTCCTCTGAATTACAATAGGTTTTGAATGGCCGAATAATTACTGGGGACTTAGGCTTTGCCGTGCAGCAAATAACAAGTTACTAACCATAGGACTTTGAAGGAATGATGCCAGTTTAAAATAGGGTTTTTGGTAATGCTTATATCATGAAACACTACCATTTCTAGGTTAAGTAACATTTATTACATAGTCATAATGCCACCCAGCTCGAAACTGGAGGTAGATTAATATTTGTCAAGTGGTAAGAATTTCACTACTTTGTTGGTAATTTTGGTAATTTATATGGTTGCATATGTTATGAGTGGAGATCCTCAGTTGACAGTCACAAAAGAGGTGTTAGACAATGGCTGTAGCTGGGAAATATGTGAGCAGTAAAACGAACTTGGAAATGTTTTGGTAACTTGCTTGTAGTCTTAATTGATTTCCTCCCACTGATCCCCATATCTTGCACCTCTTTTCCGACCCTTCGGTAGCCATTCGCTGTTTACTCCAAGACTAAGGGACATCTCACATGACCTTAACTCTCCTTCATGTTATATATCATTTCAACTCTGTCTGTGGTTCAAGTCAAGTGATTAGGTAGGTTCGTCTGCGGATTCGAAAAAATTTACAAGTTGGTTTCAGGAAGGGTGATCCAAATACACGGAAAATTCAGTGCTATTATACCTGATGGATACAAGACATCGCGTTGACGCTAACGTAGCCTACATAGTTACATACCACATTCTGAGTTCATTACAGGAGAGGCTTCGTCTGCGATCTAGCTGACTACTGGAAGTGAACTTAAATTCTTGTAAATTCTAACTTCTAATAATTCTCAACTTTCAACGCCACCACGAGCCAATATTCTTGAGGAGTTCTAGTCAGATGTGATCAGCAGATCCATAAATTTTGGCATGACGACAGGCGCTCACCAAGGGCACTGGATTGCAGTCATGCTGCACACTGTGACTTGGCGGAATTTAGGATT